AATTAAGGATTATTTTGATGTTACATCATTGCCTTTTCTCTTTTACTTTCCTTTTTAGTTTTATTTTAGGATTCCCTATTTTTAATGTTCATACAGAGATTTCTTTAACTGAAATACCGAATAGTTTCTTTGGTGTAAAAAACTATAATAGTACACAGGATCCTAATGAAATAATTAATAATGTGAAATAGGAAGTGAAGGGCTATAGGTGTAGGGAAAGTGGGAAGAGTGGGGGAAAGGTAATAAGGGAGTGGAAAAAAATAAGAGAAACTGAAAAAATGGAAATAAAGTGTGTGTAAATGGGGAGGGGAGGAGGGGGTGAAGGGAGGGCAGGGACAAGGGGAAAAAGTGAGAATCAAGACCTATTATGTAAAGGTACAGAATCCCAATGATGAATGTAACTGTATTGTACCAATAAACTCAATAAAAAAAAAAAGCATGCATCATTTGGACACAGACTGGCAAGGCAGGGACGCAAGGACGGACAGATGGACAGACGGATGGACAGATGGCCCAGTGTTGAGGGACTGCAGTGACAATCCGGGGTGAGCGCAAGAAAACCAAGTGGGGCCACAGCTGACCCGAGACTGGGGACAAAGGCTGTGGGTCAACGTGCTCTAGCCCAGCTTCAATCTCTGGGCAGGGCCCTGGAGACAACAGGGAAACTGTCAAAGCTGAGTGACAGGTGGATGGACAGGTGGACAGATGGGAGCTACGATATGTTTGAATTTCTTCCCAAAGTTTCTTTAAAGGTCAACCAGTTACTCATTACAACACTTTTCTCAGCTTAACATCACTGTGTAAAATTACTCATTTTGTGTTGTCTATCTCTATCTCTGACTAAAATATAAGCTAAGAGCAAAACCTTAATCTTCTTTATCCCCAATGCCTAGAACAGCACCAGGTTCTCAATAGTGCTGAATAAATACGAAAATAAAATGCCTAGGAGCACCTTTGGAGGTTTTTTTTGATGGGGTGGGAGAATACCAGAGACTGGACCTAAGGTCTTCTTTGCATTGAGCTACTTCCCTGGCTCTTTGTGTTTTGACATGGGGTCTCAATAAGTTGGTCAGGATGCGCTCAAATATGTGATCTTCCTGCCTCAGCCTCCAAGACTGCTAGGATTACAAGTGCATACTCCTGCATCTGGTTTCCTTTATAACTCTAACAGCATTCAACTGCATCACGGCCAGCAGTGCACAAAGGCAAGATCCATCCAAGCCCAGCAGTAGGGCTTACCTTCACTTCAATGAAGTCGGGATGTCCCAAGGATACGAGCTCAGCATAGGCCTGGAGTTCGTCCACATTCCAGGACTTCACGAGGGTCAATCTGTAGACAGTGCGCTGTGGCTAAAACAAAGGAAAGGTCAACTCTGTTGTAGTCATCATAGGTGGAAGTCATCTAATTCAGAAAATTCTCAAACTTTTCCAATACATAGAGAAGCCAGGTCAGGTGAACCCCAGCATGAACTTAGGTAAACTGAAGTTACATTTGAGGGAAAGAAGAAAAAAAAAGATGTTAGCATGAAATAAGATTCTCACATGCCTTACTGAAGGCAAGGATGTGAAATATGTATTTTCTGTCCCTCCTAACACCTAACACTACGTGAGGGGCCCAAAGGTTTTGTGATGCGTACACTCAATTAGATTTAGTGAGAAGCGGAAAATTGATGAAATGGTTTTAAGCAGTGGGAAAATTAATTGAAATAACCTTTAGGCTTTTAGGTAATGATCATTCAAATTGCTAATGACAAGAGTTATTATTGTCTTCTTTTCCTACTTTGTTTTTATTTAATAATCTTTTGGCATTTTTCATTCTCAGAGAAGGCACAGTCAGGACTGTCAATGTTTGCATTTGTTTACCACATAACCAAAAGATGTAACTACTTTCCAAAAAGCTTACACCCTTTGACTCTGCAGCTCCCTTCCTGGATCCAAATGAAATGATTAAAAATACAAAGACCAACTGAAAAAATTGTTGTTTTTTTTTTTGTTTTTTTGTTTTTTTTGTGCCAGGGATCAAACTTGGGTCCCTTGAGCTTGCAAGGCAGGAAGCAGAATCACAGAGCTACATTCCTGCTCCCTGAAAAATTTCTTAACAACAAAATTATTAATAATATCTAAAGTACAACCCTCCCTTTGAATGGAAGCAGGAAGTGTGACTCGCTTGTAACCAACAGAAAATGTCAAAGGTGATGGGGCGTAGGGGGCCATGTCCTACAAACTCGCAGGTAAGCAGCAAGGTCCAAAATAACAATGAGAAAAGCAAAATGAAGGCATGAACAAAGGACTCTAATCTCTTTACTATTGTTTTCATTTTCGTTTGTTTGTTTGCAATCACTACTCAGAATTGAACCCAGGGCCTTCATACTACATATGCTACATCCTTGGCCTCTTTTTCTTTTTTTTACTCTGAGTCAGGGTCTCACTAAGTTGCTAAATTGCCCAGGCTAGACTCAAACTTATGATTTTCCTGCCTTAGCCTCGCAGAGTGTTGGGATTACATGTATGTGTTGTCATGTCTCACTTGTGTATTTGAAATCTTCCATAGTTAATAATATAAAAAAGAAACACTCTGCCAGAGATTTAGCTCAATTGTGCTGCTGCCTGCCTCGCAAGCACAAGGTCCTGAGTTTGATCCCTGGTACCAAAAAAACACTTGAGATCTTTAATGAAGAAAACAAACTTAGAGGTCTTTAATGAAGAATGTTCATCAGCAGGTACATTGGATCCTTGGGTTATGACTGCCCTGACATAGGAATGACTTTGGTTGTAAGTCAAAACTAAAATTTTGGTCATAACCCAAGTCTTGATTTATGACCTGAATGCTGGCCCCTTGAGCCTCCAGTTGGTCTCTGATGCAGATTTAACCCGCAAGAGTTCTGGAAGGAAAAAAAAAAAAAAAAAGTTCTGGAAGGAACATTACAGCATCCTTTTCTGTGTGGGGTTCACTGAGAAATCCTGGGCCAACATCTAGAGACAATGAGATCTGCCTGGGTACAGAAGAGAGACTTTGAAGGCTGTGTAGAGCAGCCTGAGCCTTCAATTGATCAGCCTGAGTTACAACCAGCAATTGTGAACGAACTGAGTTCTAAGTCAAGGGTCTACTCTATGTCAGAAAATAGTGTTTTCCAAACATATTTACTCATATAAACTCAAAAGTTCCTTTGGAAATGCATTAGACTATGCAAAAATAAAAGAAAGATCTTCTGGGCTCCCTTAACATGTCTAGAATTCTCCCAATGCTAAATGTAAAAAAAAAAAAAAAAAAAAAAAAAAAAAAAGAAAAAAAAACG